GAATGTATACAATGTGTTAATTATTGAAACTGTCCTACAAATTTGGTTTGAAACTGTCTCATTGCTATTTGTTTCTCAATAAAATTATGGGAAGAAAATAAAAATAAAAATAAAAATGACATAGTAAAAAAAAAAAAGAACACACTATCACAAAAAAACAAACAAAAAATCCCCCTAAAAGTTAGTAAAGGAGAAAAAAAAAAATATGTTAGATCAGAAGTAGCACAAAAGGGAACAGAAAAATAGAGAACTAGGTGATCTCCACCCACTTCCCACCCCGTGTTATAGATTGAATCCAGGGACTTGAGCAGTGATAGTGAACTTTTTTGGAGCTTCACTGATAAAAATAGCCCATTGTGGCACACCTGCAGTAGGCACACCACTACTATGCCAAGTGCTCTTCATTCCCAGACCTAACATTAAATTGTTCTCAAATTTCTCCCAAAAGTGAAAGAGGGAAGATTCTCTAAGTCATTTCAGCAGATCAGCATTAAAAAAGGGAGGTCAGCATTAGACAAATGTTGGCAAGGAGATGGTGAAATTTACCCTTATGCACTGTTGGTAGAAACTGTTAGAAAAAAAAAAAGCATGATGGATTGTCAAAACTAGAGAAAAAAGCTGGGTGTTGTGGTGCACACCTGTAATTCCAGCATACAGAAGGCTGAGACAGGAGAAGTGCAGCAAGTTCCAGGCCAGGCTGGGTTACACAGTAAGTTCAAGGTCGGTCTCAACTACACAGCAAGACTGTCTCAAAAAACTAAAAACAATGTTAACAAAAAAAACCTCAAACCAAACATTATATGATCCAATCACTCTGCTTCTGCGCACACTCAAAATAATTAAATGGAAGGTATTAAATATTTGTACAGTCATGTATATGAAAGCATCTAAAACAGTCAAAATACAGAAGCCAAATGTTCACTTACAGATGAGTAAATAAGTAAAATATAGAGGAAATTCTGACAACAGGGATGAATACTGAAGGCATCATTTACACAAAATAAGTCAGTTACAAAAAGAATACAGTAGGGGGCCAGGGAGATGGCTCAGTAGAATAAGCGCTTGCCTGGCAAGTGCAAGGGCCTGAGTTCAATCCCTGGTTCTGCAAAAAAAAAAAAGAATACAGTAATATTGGATGTTGAATTGTAAGTCCAGTGGTCTCTCACTTATTGCAGAGGTTATATTCCAGACACCCCTGCAATAAGTAAAAATCAGCAAAGTGGCAAAGTTACATTTATTTTAGCATTTACATATATTTTAAGGCTTTTATAAACCATTCCCACACTTAGAAACCTTTCCCTTTTTAAAACATTTCTAATGTTCTTAACCATTTTCTAAACTCATAAAGCTATGTAATTTTGACAACATATGTATACTGTATGGTACAGAAAAATCCTATGATATAGTGAAAAATCTATAATAATTTAGATTACTATTTTTTTGAAAACCCATGAAACAATAAGTCTGTAAAAGTCAAACCATGAAATAGCAAGGAACTACTGTAGTACCCAGGGAAATCAAAATCAGAGACAAGCAGTACAATGGTGGTTGACAGGGTATAGAGACAGTTACTATTTAATGCAAACAGTATTCAGTTTGCAGAGTTATGCAATGATGACTGAACAACAATATAAATGTACTTAAACTACTGAACACAAAATCTTTAATGCATCAAAATTTTGTCATATTGTATCCGACAAAAAAGTTGGAAAGAAAAAAAAAATTGCAAAGAAGTTAACATTGGGGGGCCAGGGAGATGGCTCAGTAGAATAAGCACTTCCCTGGCAAGCACAAGGGCCTGAGTTCAATCCCCAGTTCCACACACACACACACAAAACAAAAATAAAAAATAAAAAAGTAACATCATTTATGGAAAACTACAAAGAAAAATTTCCATATTGTCATAATTCAGTTATCAGTGATAATTGAGTTCATTTCTTTCTGCTTTTTTTTTTTTTTTCCTATTTTTTAGGGAAGGGTCTATAGGGTGTACAGGGTCTCACTACTAGATCGGACTCACAATTATCTGCCTGTTTACAGCCTCCCAAGTGCTGAGATTACAGGCACACACCACTATGCCCAGTCTCATAGTCTCAATTGCCATCTCAGTGTGCCCCAGGGACAGGGCAGCATGGCAGGCCTGAGGATCGAACCCTTGGCCCCTGCGCCTGCTTGCAGGTGCTTTAATCCACTGAGCTATTTGGCCAGCCCTCTTTCTGCTCTTAATCTGTGTATTTTATCATCACATGTAATAGTTTAATGTTTCATAAACATTTAATGTGATTGCATAAGCATTTTTACATGTCTAGAAACTCCTTGTAAACTAAATGGCAATTAACAGATCATATTCCAGATAAAGGATGTATGATAACTTCATCTTGCACTAAGGTAAGCACTTATCTCGTTGCTGCTTTCTTCTACTACAAACAATAACAATGCTTGACACCCCCATCAAAGTATTAATAGTTTAAAATTCTTATATTAACATTTATACAATACTATGATCTGAACTAACTGTTAAGAGTTTACATATAGTGAGAAGGCAAAAACGATGAAAATTTTATTTGGAGTTTTGAAGCACCTTCCTGGTAATTGCAAGGCCTTGGGTTCAACTGCAGATAACAAAAAAGAATTGAAAACTCCAAATGTTGACAACAAAACATAAATATTTTATAAATTAATGAAAACACTAATTAATGGGAAAAATGTGTTTAGGTCAATATAAATCTAACTGTTCACATGTGTAATATTTGTTTTCTGCCACTTACCTTAAAAATTATAATACTGTCTACTGTAATGCTTCGACTGTGAGCATAATTCAGGGCAACATCAACATGTCTAAATATGTAAATTCCAAGAAGAGGATTTCCTAATATCTTCAAAGTAGATGCTTTGGTACTTAACCCTTTCTGGTATATCTCTACTACATCTCTTTGAGGAAGTGCTAAAAAGCAGAAATGTTCTTCAAGTTCTCTTCCATGTCTTCCACTCTCACGCATCTCTGACCTAAAGCAAGACAAATCATGTATACAGTGAGATAAAAGCTTTCAAGAAGATAAGTATTTTAGCTTACCCCAGTTAGAGAACAAGGAAAATACTACTAGTATTCAGAAGTGTCACTACCGATGAGTTAGGCTGAAAAATCACTGAAGATCAAATTTAAGATTACAAATTTTCAGGATTTAAAGGTCCCTTTCTGTACAGGCTAGTAATAGTAATAAGAGCTAACATTTCTTCAATACTGCTAAAATACTATAAACTTTATACGTATTTTTCTCATTTTGTTCTCAAGAAATAATTGTTACTATACAAAACTTTTAAGTGAGGGAAATGAGGTTCAAAAAAGATAAAACTTGCCAAAGTGGAAAACGGACAGGGTTAGAACTGACAGGTAGATATGTACTTCTTTTTTAACTTTTAATTTTTATTTATTTTTAGAGGTTAGGAGAATATATTTATTGGGGGAAAGAAAGCTCTTGTCTGAGAGAGGGATAGGAGGGTGGCCCCAAGCAGGTGGTCCCCCTAAAACTTGAGAAGGATATTTTTGTTTTTGGCTGGGTAGGCCTGCCTTAAGGGTGGGTCTGGTGCTGCATGTGGTGCTGCTCCTGACTGAGTTTGCCCAAGCAGGGGCTTAGACAACTGAGCTATCCTGTCAGTACTCTTTGCTCTTATTGTTGTTGTTGTTGTTGTTGTTCTTCTTTTTTTTTTTTTTTTTTATTTAGGACAGGGTCTACAGGGTGTGCAGGGTCTTACTGTGTAGATCGGACTCTTAGTGATCCTCCTGTTTACAGCCTCCCAAGTGCTGGGATTACAGGTGCGCACCACCGTGCCCAGTCTCAATTGCAGTCTCAGTGCTCCAGGGGGTGGGGCCAGCAAACAGGCCAGGGGATCGAACTCCCAGCCTCGGCCCCTGCCCCTACCCCTGCCCCTGCCCCTGCCCCTGCCTAAGCAGGTGCTTTAATCCACTGAGCTATTTGGCTGGTCCTGAACTTTTTTTTTAAACGAATTGAAGGTTTGTGGCAACGCTGTTGCTTTTTCTAACAGAAGCTGTTCACTGTTTCTGAGTGACAATTTGGTAATCCCAATATTACATTTTCATTTTAGTGTATCTGTTATTGTGATCTATAATTAATGAGCTAAAATATTACTATTTGTTTTTGGGATACTGTTAATGCTTGTATTTAGATGTTGCCTCTTCCTGCATTCTCCTTTAACCATAATAATGTGCTCAAAGGTGAGGCTTTCAGAGGTTGCTGATACTAGGGTGTGTGATGAAAGGATTAAGTTGTGAGATGCTACGGTTAGGTTATGTGACCATGGCATTAAAAGTGTGTGATTACAAAACTACTAACTAATCCACTGATTAGTTAAGTATAGTTGTGGATGTTCATCCCTGCAGATAGGCTATAAGGACCAGAAAGAGAGTCACTGTCACTTGCAGCGTGCTGCTTCTTTGTTGCCAGCCATGATGTTTCTCTTCTGTGATGCCCCTGCTGCTATGCCACCCTGCCTTGGACTCAGTAAACTATGATTTGAAACCTATGAAAACTGTGAACTGAAATAAGTCCTTCCTCCTTTAACTTTGGGTATCAGTATTTTGTCTTTTAGGAACAAGAAAAGTAACTAAGAAAGGTACCATAAGCTGTGCCCATACCAGAAGGTGAGCTTACTTGGTAAATGTTCTTGTAATTCTGAGTGTGGGTAATGGGAAGCCCCACAGTGGATGTGTGTGGCATCACCCAAAAGGCTTGTAGTCTGGATAGGATAAAACGGAAAAGACAAGCTTGCTACTTGCTACTCACCTACCTCCCCTGCCATGGGCTGCTTTTCCTCTACAATGGCCTCTTGCCATGCTACCCTATCTTGGAATCAGCTCACTATGGACTAAAACTGCTACAAACTAGCCAAAGTACAACTTTCTTCCTTCTTTGTTTTGGGTGTTGGGTATTTTGTCTCAGTGACAAGTAACCAAGACATCAAGGAAGCTACAGAAGAAAAGTCTGAAGATAATGGAGGCTGGTTAATGAGGTTTAAAGAAAGAACTGTTTCCGTAATTGCAAGGTAAAGCAGCAAGTAATGGAAAAGTTACAGCAAGTTATGCAAAAGATGCAGCTAGGATAATTGAGGAAGGTAGCTTCACTAACCAAAATCTTTAAAGTACATCTTTATAAGGAAAATTATATAGTTGTCCCATTATAGCCATAGCCACTCCAACCTTTAGCAACAAGTACTCTGATCAGCCACCAACACTGCAGTGAAATCCTCTACCAGCCAAAAGGTTATGACTTACATAACACCGAGATGACTTTTAGAAGTTTTCAGCTATGAAGTATTTTTAAATTAAGGTATATACATCATTTTTAAGCTATAACAGTATCATACACTTATTAGACAACAGTGAAATGCAAATATAATGTACATTTGTTAAGCAGAAAGCTCAAAGTCAACTTGTGTTAAAATTCATAGTTACATGCTTATTTATGTATTCATCATTTTGATCATTTTTCTTATTACTATTAATTATTAAGTGTATAAATGTAAAAGAGTTGAATGAGAAAACTCACATTAATGAACTATGGAAGTTTGAATAGTATAACTAACGAGTAAGATTAGGATTTTTTCAGGGAAGGGTCTACAGGGTCTCACTACTAGATCGAACTCATAGTGATCCACCTGTTTACAGCCTCCCAAGTGCTGGGATTACAGGTGCATGCCACCATGCCCAGTTTCAAATGCCATCTCAGTACGCCCCAGGGATCAAACTCTTGGCCTCTGTGCCTGCTTGTAGTTGCTTTAATCCGCTGAGCTATTTGGCCAGCCCCTAGAATTTTGCATATCCCTCTGAGGATGGTAAACTTTTCAGTCTGGTGCCATGCTGCCTGCCTGCTGAAACCAAGTATAATAAAGATACAAGTACATTTTTTTTAAAGAGGAAAGAAACAAAACAACAAGAACAAAGACCAAAACGAAAAGTACCATAAAACAATAAAAGTGCTATAGAATTTCAAAACCAGAACAGGAAATTAATAATGGTTGTTATATTACATATTGTTATCATCAAATCTGTTGCTCAGATACAGGTATGTAAGATAGATCAAAGAATTAAAACATTAACTCTCCCTTTCCATAAACCTTGAACTTACTCTTATTTTTTTTAAAGAATATAAAAATAATAGTTAAGGCATTAGAAATGATACACCTTTTAAAACAACAACAACAGGGGCCAGTGAGATTGCTCAGTGGACTAAAATGCCTGCTTAGGCAAGCTTAGACAAGCATAGGGACCACGGTTCAATCCCCAACACCATATGCCAAGTCAGCCCTGCCTAGCCAGCCAGAGTCAGGGTGTAGTGGCACATGCCTGTAATCCCAGCGCTGGGGAAGCTGAAAGCAGGAGGATTACCACAAGTCCAAGCTGCGCAGTGAGACCCTATAACAACCAAATACATTAAAATTAATAAATAAAGATGAAAGGTATTCAATGATAGTTGTTATATTGCACATTGCTGGCTTCAATGCAGTTGCTCAGATTATAGACATTAGTATATGAAATTGGTCAAAGTAATAATTTTATTTTTTGGTGGAACTAGGAATTGAACTCAGGCCCTTGCGCTTGCCAGGGAAACGCTTATTTCATTGAGCCATCTCACTGGCTCCAAAGTAATAATTTTAAGCTTTAACTGCTACCTAAAAAAAAAAAAAAAAACTGACAGAAATCAGTAGTAGAATCATCTTTGTTATCCTGTGTATATACTTACATGATCTTTTTCTCTGTTCTTTTTTTCCCCTATCTTTTATCCTTTTCCTAATCTCAACTGTTATGCCTTATATCTGGTTTCTTTTCCTTTTAGTATATCTGTTATACCTTTCAGATTTTTTTTTTATTATTTCAAGTTCTCACACTAGGGAGACAATACGATGTTTACACAGGTGGGTCTGATCTATTTTGCTTATGAGTATAGCCTCTTGTCGCACCCATTTACCTATGAAAGCATCAAGTTTTTCTTTCTTTATAGCTGAGTAATACTCCACTGTATAAAAATACCACATCTTTTTTATCCATTCCTCAGGTGATGGGCATTTTTGTTGTTTCCAAGGTTTAGCTATACAAATTGTGCTGCTATAAACATGGCTACACATACATTGCTGTGGTATGATGTTTTCATTTTTTCTACAAAAATATTCAGAAGGAGAGTAGCTGCAACTTCTAGTTTTTTGAGGAATCTCCACACTTATTTCTATAGCGGTTGCACCAGTCTACACTCCCATCAACAGTGGAGAAGGGTTCCTTTTTCCCCACAGCCTCTCTAGCATTGATTTCTTTATGACAGCAGTTCTTTCTGGGGTGAGCTGGAACCTCAGTGTTGCTTTAATTTGCATTTCTGAATGACTAGTACTGTGGAATATTTTTCCATGTATTTATTTGCTGTTTGTTTTTCTTCCTCTGTGTATTCACCTCAGATGCCCATTTCTGCACTGGAGGTGTTACAACTACTTTGGATGGAATGCTTATGTAATAGTTAATTACATCACACAGAATTGGTTCAAAGATATGCTGCACATAGTAGGCAATCAATTTCCCATCAAGTAAATGAAACACTGGGAAATGTACAGGTTTAACTGGAAACAGAAGTATAGATAAGGTATTTAGCTCATGAACTACCTCATTTGTACTTCTGAGGAACCCTTAAGAAAAGGAAAGTATTTAAGAAAATATATTTTTTGTTAAATAAAATTATTTCTTGGGAGAGTTTGAAAGAGAACTTAACAGTTTTCAAACATAACAGATTTCTAGCAGTACGCAGTTAGCTTGAAGTACAATACATTAGCTCTTTTCCTTGGAGGATATATTCGAAGATCCTCAGTGGATGTTTCAAATTGGCAGCTGGCACTAAGGCCTCAATCTTAATGCCCTTGTACCTTAACTAAGTACTTCATCATATACTGTGACTTTTAACTTTTTCAGAGGTGTTACAGCTAAACAAGTATGAATTTATTTCCTTCTTTATAACTTCATGGAAGATGTTATTCTTCCTATCTATCTCAGCAACCTCAGCATATAATTTTCTTGTTCCCTGAGAACTTTCGTTGCCTTCTCACTTTTTTTCTTTAGGGTATCTGAAATTTTTAATCCTTTCTTTACAGGTTACTAGATCACTTCTGATTAAGAAAACCGTAGAAAGTTAGTAACTGCCACAATTGAATGCCAGATGGTGGCAATGTCAATTTCCACAGAGTCCTGCTTTGTGGGATGTCTGAATGCACTGCTCGGGGTCTCTGCTCACACTTGCTGGAATCATTTGTGGCACATTTTAGTCTGCAGGTGGCTTTACCCATATTTCTTTGTAAACTCTTCACCATTTTCACATTTTTTTCTGAGGAAAAAATTCTTTAACTAGGTCAGCCCGGAGGGGGTGCTCAGGCTGGGGTCATTCACCAGTATTATGAGGGACTGGATTTCTTGGTCGGTCTTAGTCACTGGCTTCCAGTTCTCAGCACTAATTAACAGCAGGCAAACTTGCCCTTTTTCTATTTTCTTCAATGTTTGGGTGACAGATCTTTGTTTTAAATGTGATGTTCAGTGGTTTGAATGGATACTCTACTGGAAAGTTCATTTCAATTCTAAAGGCCCCCTTATTATATGGAGGTCGTCAGGAACAATACGCCCTTGCCAAGTCAATACATTAGCTTCATCAACCTGGATGTTATGGACATTTTTCATTCCACAGTTGTGGATCTCTTCAAGTTCCTTCATCCCTTGAATTAAATATGTATTATACAGTCTTTTAACAACTATCCCTATCCTAGTATTAAGCTGTCCAATTCCTGAACAGATACCAATGACTTCAAATACAGAAATACATTCAAACTGGCTTAAGTATAAGCTAATTTCTCATAACAAGAAGTTAAAAAATCAGGTAGCCTTTCCCAAGATGAACTGATTCTATATCTTTAGACTTTCATCAGTTACAGGGCTTTTACTATCTGTCTTTGCTCTGCTGTTCTCAGGTACATGGTTCATTCTGGTCTCATTATACCAGGAACACTGCTATTAGTAGCAGGGATAACGTGCTTCCTTGTTCATCTAAGATTGGTTTTTCTTTTCCAGAGATCCTAAGCCATCATTTTTTATTGTGGTATTGATTCAAACTGGTTTAGTTCAGCCTACTCTTGGAATCAATCAGTGAAAGGAGGTAGTACCCTTAAGTAGTGTTAAGGCATACCATTATGGTTTATGTTTAAATGTCCCTCAATGGTTGCATGTGTGTGGAAGGTAACTGCATGTGATGGTGCAGTACTCAACAGTGAATATCCACTGATTGCTGTTAAAAAATATTAAACAGGGAATCATAGAAAGGGAGGGGAGGAGGAGAAGGGGACTAGGAATTGAAAAAAAAAAAAACAACCCAAAACTGTAATATGTACATATATCCACTCCTCAAGACGACTATAAACTGCATGCACTACAAGCAGGCACACAAAAAAAGAATCTACTCGAACATTAAGTGAGATTTAAAATTACTTATTTGATATTTAAGTACATTGTGTACTGCAAGATTCAGTTTATACTATCAACATAAAAACAAGACAAAATTCACAGCACAGCAGAGGTATGAGATACAAACCAGTATGTTGGAAGCTCTATAAAGTACTATGGGAAGGAAGTGAATTTTTGTATAGTTAAGCAAATACTTAAGAAAATAATAACTGTAGCTCAGTGGTGCAGTGCCTGCCTAGCAAATGCGAGGCCCAGAGTTCGATTTCCAGTATCAATAAAGAAAATAGTAAAAATAAGGCCAAAAAAAACCCTTTTGGAAAAATAAAATAACAACTACTTATCACTTGGAATTCAAACATGTTCTATATCATTTGAGTAATTGTTCTAACTTTTCTAACACTAACCAGTGAGAGAAACAGAACAAAAATTCTAATGGCCGAAAGAATTCAAAAGCCAAAAATAGTGCCAGAAATTCATTTTAAACCAAAATGTTACTTCAGTATGAAAGTAGCAAGACATATACTATCCTTTCTACTATCACAAAAAGTGTAGTTTTTAGAGAAAAGAGAGTATGCCCCAACTAATTTTTTCATTCCCACCAATTTAAAATCTATACCACAGGGGCAGCATGTTTGAGTCAAGAAGAGTTGACTCTAAAACAATACAGAAATTTAAACAAGTCCCATGGATCTATCAAGTTATACTTCAATTTGAAATTTAACTTAATGTTTGAAAGCTAAATTTAACAAGTTAAATTTGAAAGTCCATAATAATAAAGTAAATTGTTAATAATAAAGTAAGTAAGTTTAGACAATGAAAATACTGAGGCCAACCAAATAGCTCAGCGGATTAAAGCACCTGCAAGCAGGCGCAGTAGCCAGGGGTTTGGTTCCCAGGCCTGTCGTGCTGGCCCCACCCTGGGGCATGCTGAGACAGCAATTGAGACTGGGTGCAGTGGCGTGCACCTGTAATCCCAACACTTGGGAGGCTGTAAACAGGAGAATCAGTACAAGTCTGATCTAGTAGTGAGACCCTGCACACCCTGCAGACCCTTCCCTAAACATACAAAAAAAAAAAAAAGAAAAAAAGAAAAAGAAAATACTAATTTAAAATTTCCCCCCCAAAATGCATACTTATGAATATAAAATGCTTACAATAAAGAGCTTTGCATATGGTCTTATTTTTTTAATCAAAATAACAATTATGAAATGTAACTTGGAGAAAGCTGACACTATATTTCTAAGTTGTAAGGAACAGTGGTGTCAACCCAGAAAGCATGTCCTATTGGGACAAATGGAAACAGCTAGATATAATCCTCAGAAATTAAAACATCAACTCAAGTTGTCTTAAGAGTTGGATCAAGAGAAAAAAAAGTTACTTTCTGACTATGTTAACTGCTGCTTTACTTTATCCAAGAGATATACAGGCTCTACAAAATTGTTATTTCATAAGCATGCTGATGAATCTTTCTGAAAAACTTACCAACATTAAAAAATCAGAAGAGGATATTTGAAAACTGGTAACAACAATACATAAAACTGATAAAATTTCATACTTTTAGATATTATAAAGAGCTAAGTTAACAAAAGAATCTACTTCCTTATAACACTTATTACATATCCTCTACTTATTTTCTTAGTAATACATAGGTAGAAATAAATCAGCATAAGATTTCATAATAAAAAAAAACCCAAGATCTTCTATTAAGGTCATAGGAACTTACCTCTTAGTAGTAAAATTCTTTTCTAGCTCTTCATTGTGAACCAGTTTTGTATCCCCAAACTGCCAGGATGATTGGAGATCACAGCTTACATCAAGTCTACACTGGTTAAGAGTCTCACATATGAAATTATACTCTCTAGTATTAGTGCAACAAGGTGATAAGTAAACTAAGGAAAAAAGAAAGGGGAGAGTAATTGTATATAAAATGTCATTGTTGTTCATATTACAATCATATCTGGTATGAGACAAACAAAGCCAACAACTGACATCGAAATTTCTACCACAATAATGTGGACCTCTGATAACTGACATGCCTGTTTTTCTCCATCTATGGACTGACACTCTTAGAAGTTCACATTTACCAATGTTAACAAAGTCCTAAAATTCAGCTTACTCATTTTTTCTTTTTTTACTTCCTTTGTCTTTTTGAGATAGGGTTTTACTATGAAGTTTAGGTTGGCCTTGAACCCACAGCAATCCTCCCACTTCAGCCTCCCAAGTGCTGGGATTATAGGCATGAGTCAGGCTGTCTGAGTAGGTTATTCATTTTCAGCTTAAATTTTACACTTACTCTACAATGTATACTATTATATACCTGTTACTACTGTTAGCACTTGAATATTTGTTATCTCCCAAGTAAAGACGAGTCAACATCTGTACCAGAGAACTATTTTGATTTGCAAATATATCAGAACATCTTTGTAAGCTGCTGACTGATCAGTGACATGAGTAAAAAGAAACGGACCTTCTCCGGACAATGACCTATATATTTTTAGTACATATGTTAAACAGACACAAAAAAGGCTAAAATAACCTTAAGGAAGAGGACCCATGAAATCAGGAAGAAAATGTAGTTGGTTCTTATCATTCCTGATAGTTATATTTCAAGGAGGAAAGGGGTAGGCCACAGGGGGTAGAGGAATTTATTTTTATAATTTTATTTATTCATTATTTTGATTTGATTTGATACAGGGTCTTGCTATGCAGCACAGACTTGTTGTGATCCTCCTGTCTCAGCCTCCCCAGTGCTGGGATTGCAAGCATGCACCACCACATCTGGTTCCGGGACTGGCATGGCATGCAGTACTGGAGATTGAACCCAGGTCCTTGTGCTTGCCAGGCAGATGCTGAGGCCACCAAGCTGTCTCTTCAGCTCTGATAGTCATATTTCATAAGGTAAACCATAAACACTTTACTAAAAGCTGAACTATTATTCTTACAGAAAAGGATTAGGAGGTTCCTGCAAGCATTGGTCAACTTTTGACAATGGAAATGCTGTTAGGATAACCTAGGCTCTTCTATCAACATCCTTGTCCCATCACTGTTGAAAACTTGCTCTTCCACATACTACTTTTTCCTATGTAATACTTAACAGCCATTTAAAAAATTCTTTCTCAACTTCCTGACCTGAGGAATTTACCTGCCTCTAAGTTTAACATTTCTTTTATCATACCACCTTTTGGAATGTACAAATCAGTCAGCACTAACTCAGTGTACCAAATACTTTCCTAACACTGGGTAATGTGACTTTAAGTGCTGCCTGCTTTATTTAATGAATTTATTTTTTGTCTCTCTCTCTTTTTTGTATTGAGGATCGAACTTGGAAACTTGCACTTGCCAGGCAGGTGCTTATGCCACTGAGCTATATCTCTAGCCCTATTTTTTGTCTTTTTGAGATGGGGTTTTGCTACGCAGTTCAGATTGGCCTTGAACTAACTCTACCATCCAGGTTGGCCTTGAACTCTCAGAGAGCTTCCTGCCTCAGGCTCATGAGTGCTGGAATCACAGGTGTGTGCTACCATAATGGGACAAATTCTGCCTGCTTTTATCTTTATAAGAATGCTGCCCAACTTGTCTTTTTATAAGCTGTCATGCCATGAATCTACAAAATTAGCTGCTTTCCCTTTTTCCATATCTTGATCAGGCACCAGAGATATATTACTTCAGCACTTTTCAGTGAGGCTGATGTGCAGATTGGCAAATTTCTTTTTCCTTTCTTCTGGATGTATCTTATTGTTAATGCATTAACACTGAATTGAAGTTTGAGCAAAGCTTATCTAAAACATGAATGGAACTACATTAGAATTCACTTCATGCCAGGGAGACAGCTCAGTAGAATAAGTGCTTGCCTGGCAAGTGCAGGGTCCTGAGTTCAATCCCCAGTACCACACACACAAAAAAGCATTCACTTCACATGGAGAGAGGGGACATTTTAAATGGTGAATCCACTAACAAGGGCATTTGTTACAACGTAAGAGTTGAAACAAAGCTGCAGAATATAACCTCATTTAAACTTAGCTGGGACCTTGTGCACTGGGAATGTAAAACTTCTGGTTGCTTTCCAGCTGTCTATAAAAACAATGCCGACTCTAGATTTTGGGCTTACAAATAAAAAAGCAATGCTGAACACTCAAGATTTTATCAAAGAGAACTCACAGGATCCTCAAATAATGATCAATGACTGTACAGAAGGTGTAAGGCGTATTTCCATGTATATGAAACTTAATAATATGTATATGATTTAATTATTAATTTAGCCAAATGAATAAGTTAAAACAATGACAAATATGAAATAGTACAACCAGCTGATTTTAAAAAAGAAATCTTCACTTTATTTTTTCTAGCACCATTTATTTATTTATTTATTTATTTATTTATTTATTTATTTAGTTTTGCGGAACCGGGGATTGAACTCAAACCCTTGCACTTGCCAGGCAAGCGCTTGTTCTATTGAGCCATCTCCCCAGCTCCTCTTCATTTTATTTTTATACCAACTATTGACTCAGTTATTTTAATACGTTAATAACATACATTTTGATATATATTTTTATAATCTATGCTTTTATGGATGTCTTATTCCATTTGAAATGAATACATTTATTGGAATTTGCAAAAACAGAATGAAGAGGTGCTGTGCCCCTAACTCATTTTCTCTTCAGTGGAAACATCTTATGTGACTATGATATTAAAACAAGGAAAATAAATTGCTACAATCTACTGATCTTTTTACCAGTCTCACTTGTACTTATTTCTGTGTGTACCATGATATGCAATTTTATCACATGTGCAGATTCAAAGGCCACTGTAAGATACAGAACTATTTGATAACCAAGATGTGTTCTCTGTGCTACTCCCCACCCCCAAATTCATACTAACAGCACCCTTTCTCATTCCTTTCCTTAAATCCTGAAAATTACTAATCTAATTAGCAATTACTAAGGCTATACTTTTGTCTTTCAAGAATGTTTCATAAAGGGGCCAGGGAGATAGCTCAGTAGAATAAGTGCTTCCCTGGCAAGTGCAAGGGCCTGAATTCAATCCCTGGTTCCATAAAAAAAAAAAAAAAGAATGTTTCATAAATGTAATTTTGTAGTATGAAATCTCTGGAGCCTTTTTTTTTTTTTTGGTAAACTAAGCATACAATGCCCCTAAGATCCAATTAAGTTGTGTCTATCAGATTATTTCTTTTTATTGTGTAATATTCAGTTCTTTTAATGTACCATTGTTAAACAATTCACTCATTTGAAATTTGGTTAGTTGTCAATTTTTGGCTACTTAAAACTAAAACTGTAGTGACCTTTCATGTACAAGTTTCTGTGTACATATTTTCACTTCTTAAGTATAAACGACCAAAGTTAGGATTTCTGGGTGATATGGTAGATGCAGGTTCAGATTTTAAAGAAAGTATAAAAATTTCCACAGTGGCTGTGTTATCTTAAGTGTTCCTGTTGAAAATTTATGAATGATTTGTTTTCTCTTCATCCTCACCAGCATTTAGCATGGTCATGCTCTTTTCTTTTTTTCTCAGCTGTTCTAATAAGCAGTTACACCGAAACAAAGAAAAACTGTACAAAAAAAAATTGTTCTTTTTAAAACTTTGTTCCTTTTAAAACTACCTAGGTCTGTAACTACTTCATGGCTTTGTAATTACTTTCTTGAGTTCTGTAACCATGAGAGCATAATGTAACATGCAAGATGTTTGATTGTAATAAGTTCCATGATCATTAATCTACTCTTGTAATTGATGATCATTAATCTATTTTTGTAACCAATGATCTCATCAAATCTGCTAGCTGATTAGCTCTCTCACCTCTGTACCTCCTACATACACATCATATGAAAGTACTGGACTATAAGCGCGTACTGCCTAGCTTTGGTCAGGGAGCGATCCCAGTCAGGAAGACCAGCGTAAAATAAAACTATTCACTGCTCCAAATCCTGGATGTGGTTTTGTTTGATGTTTCTGCTTGTCATAGCAACACCTCATAGTTTTCATAAGCACTTCCTTAATGTCTATGATGCTGAACACTTTTTTTACTCATCATCTGTGTAATCTCTTTGGTGCAAATCTGTTCATATCTTTTCCCTGTTTTCTAATTTAACTTTTCCTACAGATTTTTCAAAGTGCTTTATATGTTTTGAGTTCTTTGACAGATACATGATTTGCAAATATCTCCTATTTTTAGCTTATATTTATATCTTTCTACCAAGGATTTCCACAAAACAAAACTTTATAGTTTTGACAAAGTCAATTTGTTGTATTTTTTTCTTTTACAGACTGTCTTTTTGGTGTCCAAGAACTCTTCATCCAGGCCAAGATTCTAAAGACATTCTACTATATTTAGATATAGATATATATTTTGTACTGGAGATCAAACTAAGGATCTTGTGCTTGCCAGGAAGTCAATAATGCTGCCGCGCTATTTCCCTGGCCCTATATTCTTACATTTTTTTTTGACAACCGGGGATTGAACTCAGACCCTTGCACTTGCCAGGGAAGCGCTTATTCCACTGAGTCATCTCCCCGGCTATTCTTACATTTAAATCCAGCAGTTAGGTTGGGTAACTTTTTATGTAACATTAGGGTGAAAATTATTCTTTTTTTGTCTACTGCTATCCAAATATTCTAGCAACATTTGATAAAGACCATCTTTCCTAAACTGAATGTACCTTTGTTGAAATAAATTGCAAAAAAAAAAAAAAAAAAAAAAAAATTCAGTACATTTATTAGCTCTGTATCTAGAATCTCTGTCCATTCCACTAGCCTATCAGTCTGTCCCTCTCTCATTATTACAGGTCCTTACTGTAGCAAAACAATAAGACTTCATAAAAGTTTTCCATGTATTTGCTATTTAAAAATTTTTATGTATTCTTTAAGTGTCAGAAC